ACAGGGTTTATATCAGCCGCTGTGTCTAAGACAGTGGACCTGAGGGACGCTGCACAGAACACACAAGACACACGGGTCTCGGGGATCCCCTCACACAAGAGGAACACAGAAACCCCCCAGCCTTGACGCTCTTGCCACCCAGAGGTACGCGCCTGTGCCCTGCAGCCTGTGGGCCAGCTCGTTGGTGCAGAGGATGTTGTGCAGCTTGGTGTGGTTGTACACGCTGTCCATGGTGTACGTCAGGTTCTCCCCCCGGAAGTGAGAGAAGTCCACCTTCCCCCGCCAGTGATTGGCTGAGGACACATTGACGATGCGGGCGGGGGCGGAGCTCTTCATCAAGTCTGTGGCGGGGAGCAGAGAGACAGCAGAGGGTGAGAAGTGGAGTCGGAAGGCCGAGGAAAAATGAACTTTGGGGAGGGGGAGAAAAGCAGAGAAAAAAGAGGGGGGCGACAGAAATAGATATCTTTGGCCCCTGGCCATTTACTGCACTGCATTAGACATAGCAAACCATAGAGTTCTAGTAATGTATTCTGTATAGAAATGTTAATAATTGAGTTTAATTCTGTATCTTTTTATTTTCATTCAGGTTACCGCTTGGTGTTTGCTCAATAAAACTCTGAAGCCTAGAATCCTGACTCCCATGTCATTTTTGTATGGAATTTGAGTATCAAATTGTCAGAAACAGCCAAGGAGGACAGTGCACATGGGGAGATCTAATGATGTTTGGAAAGCTTTTACTTTCTGAAACATCAGAAATACTTCTTCAGGAGCGGAATTTTCCTAATGCAGTCTTGAAAAAGCCTGAAATTAACTACGCAAATCTGCAGCCTCAGTGCAGACTCCGGTCTGATACACAACTCTCCTTTCTGTTTCACTGGTTTCTTTTGCAAGTTGTGGAAATCATACAGGATACCAAGGACTTACATTCTGAATTTCTAATGTTGAAAGACGTTATTTTTTTATTCTTTGTCACCAAGAACCAAATTGGCTACCTGTGACATGGAGCCTAAATGAGCGCTTGACATCTCCACTCTGCGGCAAAAACACAGGTGACAACGTGAAAAGACACAGTGCTTCCCTTCCCCTCGGAGTGGAGTAACAGAATGCTCCAAGACTGTTCCTTCCTAGTGTCTTCAACGTATCAGTGAATTCTCAGAAACAAAATATAGTCCATATTACCTCTGCTTGCACACGCAAATTGAAATAATGACATCTTCCTTTTTTACATTTTTTTTACATCACTTTTTTTAAAATGTCGTTTTGTTCCGCCTCAGATTCGGCAACCCTTCAGCCTGGTGCCGTAGGTGATCGTCTAGTTTGCCTGTGTGGATGGGTCGCCCGCATTCAGAATCTGCTCGGAAGTGTAAAGACGAGACCAAGACGAATTGTTCCCAGACCTGAAGATGCTCATCTGTGAAGCGTGGTCTGGCTTGGGGATGCACGCCCACGTCTGGAACTGGCTCAGTCATCATGATCCAGGACGACGTCGCTAATGCTGCCAATCAGTATTGATAAACTGGCACCAAGTGACCCCTGACCCCTGATGTGATGCCATGTGATTGGTCTCAGAACTCACCTAGCAGCAGGTTGGTCAGCAGGAAGGGCCCCAGGTGATTGGTGGCAAAGGAGACCTCCAGGCCATCCTCTGTGATTCCTCTGGGCAGCCCTGCAGTGCGGAGTGTCAGACCAGTGAAACCTACAACCTCTCAAATCGAAATAATGGCCATCTGACCAAAACTGCTTTGGGGACTTCTATAGCAAGCCAAGAACAAGACAAAAACAGCAATGTGTTTGCAATTGTATATTAGGAAAAATGACTTTTGAAAATGTTCACATATTAAAAAATAAACTGTCCGAAACATACTGAGTTTAAGATGCTGGTAAACCATGAAAAGGCAAAATCAGTTCGGAATAACAGTGACAAACCACAACTGTGGACACAACAGTACCAACAAATAATGTGGAGATGTAACAGAGCCCAAGACTACAGGATACACTGCTCAGCATCCTGGATTCAGTAATAACCTAGACCTAGACAGTCCTCAGAAATTCAGCAAAATCGAAATGAATAAAAATGAGGGTTGTCTGAAATATTGAGTTTACCAGAGAAAGAGATGAGCACGTGAACTTTTGAGTGATTTCGGTTGCTTTGTCTTGTGAAAGAAGGTAATACTGCAATAATGCAGCTGTGCAGTTACATTTTTCCCAAAGGACTCTTGAAATGTGTTTAGAAATTTCCTTTGTTTCAGTAATGACATCATGATCATCAAGCAGCAGCTGTCTTATACAGATCATAGGAAGTATAAGGTTCAATATGCAACAGGGTTAAATCGAAACGTTGTTAAGCTCTGTGAATGCGGAGGAAGCCAGACAGACCTTTTCTGTGGGTTGTTAACAGAGAGATTACAGCACATTTCAGAACAACTGGAAGGTGAAATTTAAACCGTGTCAGCAGTACAATTGCATAACCGTATGTACTGTGTATATGAATCTAATATACAAGCGCAAGAGTCTCCCTCTGACTAAACATTTCTGGTAACTTACAAGGATGTTCTGAGGGAAAAAAAACTGCTTGGGAATGTTTGGGAATGTCTGTGTTCAGAGCACAGCCAGAAAAGTGACACTGTTATGTGTCCCTGTAATTCCATTAACTGTAAGAAATAAAAGCATTTCCAGATCTCGCTGGACTGCGCTGTGACTTTGTGCCTCCCTAGAGGGGCAGGGGAATCCGAAACACCGTGAACACTGCGAGTTCTCATCCCGGGCTCATCGTGCCGTAGCGGGATTTCAGAAGAGACCGAGCTGCCCCCCTACCCCCCCGTCTGCCCCAGTCCCTTCTGACTGACCGGAGGCCCCAGCGTTGTTGACCAGGATGTGGAGCTGTTTCTCTTCCTGCAGGACGCGGCGGGCGAACTCGCGGACAGACCGCAGGGAGCTGGTGTCCAGCAGGCGCAGGTGCACGTTGGCGTTGCCGGAGCGGGCGCGGATCTCCTCCAGGGCCCTCTGGCCCCTCTCCGGGCTGCGGCAGGCCAGGATCACGCGGGCCCCGCGCCGCGCCAGGTCCAGGGCGATGAACTTCCCGATCCCTGGGCGAGCCAGAGGGAGAGCCGCGGGGACCGAAATGACTGGCGAGCCGGCAGATGAACACGACCACAACTGGTCATTAAATCTGCCTTCTCGTTTGAAGTTATTAACGCTGGAGAGATGAATTTGATAACCATGCCCTCATGCGCTGTAGATGAGTTGAGCAAATATTGCCTAGCTTGGTAAATACTGGTTAAGGGTTTTATCCATTTCAGTGTATCCTTTATTAGCAGCATAATAAATATTAAATATTGATTCGACTATGCACAGCTTTGCTTTATTTGTTATTTTGGCAGAACACAGACACGGTGTGCCCCAGCTGAGCTGAAAGAGACGAGACGGGAGGAGAACAGGGAGCTGGAGAAAAACAGGGAGACCAAGCGACAGGAGTGGAGTTCCATGACACCTGAGAGACTGAACTCTACACTTTTGTACTTTTCATACTGTGCACAAATGATGACAGAAAAACCATGCCCTTTGATAGTCAAAAAAGGGCAAGTTTAGGAATTAGTAATTCAATTTGTGATCCCATTCTGATATTTGAAACTCACCATCTCAATATCACAATTTAGCAGAACAGCACAGGCATGGCCAAGTTACATCACATTAGTAGATTTTGCTAATATGTGTAAAGTTTTAGATTTAAGGATTTCTATCATATCCAAAGCTATTTGGATTTGTTACCTTTAAACCTTGAAACCTAAGACCCTGACTGAGTAATTCAATAACATTTAAAGGATATGTAAATTATTTTACAATAAAAACGTGTTATAGTTTACAGGTATGTTTGCATAAAGCAATTGTTACATTATAAGATTTTTAATGTATGGTCATTAATATATTCTGATTCTGTTGTTTCTGTAACATTTTCTGATTGCATGGAATACTTTTTGTATAATGCTTAGATTTTGGAATTGTGTGTTTTTAAGATCTATTTCTGTAATTGTCTACAATGGATATTTTGAAGCAACTCTGTATTGGATATAGCGATTAGAACATGTATGGATATTTTGAATTGTCTTCTGTTTCTTATAAAATATATTTTTTACTGTTATCCATTAACCATAGTTTATAACCATAGTTAATAACTACACTTGTTTTATAATGAAAGTATTAACAAATTAAAAATTAAACTGATTGTTAGTGGCTTTATATGCTTTGAGAATATCGATCTAGCGGTTAATTAATAACACGTTTGTTTTAGGATCCAATAAACAGGGCTTAATCTAAGCACTGGGTTTGTGAATTCAAAGTCCTGATCGAAAAATTGTCATTCTTATCTTTCTACAATAAAATTAAGGTTCTACTTACTACTAAAATTTTGTCTAAAATTTTAATGACTTAAACATCTGTGCTTCACTCCAGTACAGTTGACATTTTTGCTGAATTTGCGGGCCTTTAGCTTGAGAGTTTAAAAGGAAATCAAGAGAGTTTTTTAACGTAGCTACTAATACAACAGTTTTTATTAACTGCTCACGCATACTGTAGTTTACCCAGTATGATTCTCTATTTTTTAAATTAAATATGGTAAATGTTGTAAATATGGCTAAATGACATACTTGGATACTTTACACCAAGAATCTTTATTAACAGTTTAGGTTCTTATTTCTTTTCCACAAACACTACTGAACGCTTTAAGGAAACTGGTCATGCTCCTATCATATCTATATTGTAACTCCGAATTTTTTTCATTGCGGTGTAAGACCGATTAAAACTTTGCTGCCAGACGACTCACCCGTGTTGGCGCCTGTCACAATAGCCGTTTTCCCGGTCAAGTCCACTTTGCAGGCTCGGGGGTCCCACGACCCCTTCCTCTGAGCCCGCACCACCAGCCCCAGGATGACGGTGGAGAACGCCCAGAGCGGATGCTGAAAAATATCCGTCCAGGACCATGCCATTGCCCGAGACTTGCTCTGTCCGGGACAGTCACACAATGAGTAGAAAACTTCACGCAAGGTTGTTGAACTCCTACAAGCCCATTCAGGTTGGACTCCGGGCGGTTAAGTCCAACATCCAAGGTTATATGCGAACATCTGTCCCTGCACTGGGTCTTAAAGACAGGAGAGTATAATTCGCTTACGTTTATCACTTGGAATTGTCTCTTCCGTCATCATAGCGGGTGTGTATCGTATACTTACCTGAGCGTCTTTCTGGAGTAAATCGGATTCACCAGTATGTTACTCTTTCTCAGGCTGAAGAGCACGTTGATCCGGGCGCTTTAAGTTTTATTTTCTGAGCGGTTGTCTGGGAATTCCGATGCAACGGGAGAGGGGAAGCCCAGGTCTCCTCGAAACTTCCCACCAGCTGGATTTACACTGTGCGTTTTTGTTTTTAAACTTTATAAAATCTCCGCCTGCCCACAAATCACACCACAGGTGTATGACTTAAGCACCCTCCTTCACCGCTGGCAAAGGGCGTCAGCTCACACAAGCGCGTCTCCGCCGCTCAACCGGCAGCGCCACTTGTCGCTTACCGATGAAAGCAGTAACCTTATGTTTACCAGCTGAATCACGAAAGGGACAATTATGTAATCGACACGTCTGCTTTTTTTAAAAAAAAGAGTTGAAGAGTTGGAATGAGGACCTCTTTCGTTGAATTACCGATGATGTATACACATTTTCTCAAGAGAAAAACTTGACTGCACACACTGAGCACTTTCATGGGTGAAAGGAAATGTCAGCAGAAAGTGAAGAGGAAAATCAAAATCTAAAGTATGTTTATTACAATTGTATTCACTATATCAAACTATACTACACTATATCACTATATCAAACTCTGAGAGGTTGGGATGACTCTGTCAAGCCACACAATCAGCCGCATGACCTCTGTGTGCAATAACAGTGGGACCTATTTTTATTAGGAGCAATGCACCTGTCTCTTTGAGACCCCTCAGTTGGGTGGTAAATGTCAAGCAAAGGTCCAACCATAAAGATTACAGAGTTTTCAAACCAGCTCAGGGATAGAGCTGTAAAAAGGTACAGAACAGGAGAAGGGTATACAAGCCTTTCAAAGACAGTAATATCCCTGATATACTGAGAGTTGGAGGTGTATCATACTGCCCTGACACTGCTTGGGTGTGGCTCTTGAGGAAGAATTTGAGCATTTACCTTTTATAAGTGTGTAAGATAGTGACTGGCTTTGCTAATATGTCTTTTTACCTTGCAACAGTATGAAAGGACAATTACAAGCACATTATCTAGGAGCAGAGTGGTGGCACTGTGGCTGGCTCCACAGCTGTGGCTGGAAGGATGCTGGTTCAAATCCTGTGGCTGGCAGAAAAATCCTATACTGGTGGGCCCCTGAACAAGGCTCTTCACCCCAGCTGCTCCAGGGGTGCCATATAAACAACTGACCCTAAGCTTCTCTCCCTGTTGGTATGTCTCATGGAGAACAAGCTGGGATATGTGTAAAAGACTAATTTCTAATGCAAGAAATTGTATATGGCCAATAAAGTGATCTTCTGATTTGACATCTTGACGCTAATGCTAGAAACTGCAGAATGCCTAGCTCAATTTCACACCTTTCATTTATTTACTTCCTTTTGTCTGTATACAATGTCAAACTTAAGAATAAAGCAGTCAATTACAAAGGAGTGTTTGTAGAGAGAAAACAGCTCCTAATATGGAAATTTAGAATGAGCTAGCCTGAGTGGATTTGCTGTATAAAACCCACTGCATTGACAGATCTGTTTGAGAGGCTGCTCTCCGATCTGTATGATTGCATCCTCTCCATGTGCACGAATATAGGACTCTGCTGGACCACACCTAACCCGAGTGAAGAGTTTTCTCTTACACTCTTCAAACTGAGCAGCCAGACGGAATCATTAACAGCTAACAGCGCAATGCCTCAGAATCCAGCACTTGGCTGCCTCGCATTTATTGTTCTGTGTGTTCATTGTTCTGTACTATCTATTGCATGTTGTTGGCTGTGACTGTCATTATTTATGTACTGTGGTGTAATATACTGTGCTCATTGTGTGGTGTTGTCTGTTGTACTGTGCATGTCCTGAAGGAACAGTGTGGATAAGAATCCCAAGGTACATGTGCACATGGCAAAAAAACTCACTCTTTTATGTCCTCATCACAACCAGGGTCATCCTTTTCCTAGAACTGCAGAAGATAAGAGTCTGGCCGATGAAACGTAAATGTGGAAACTTTTTTCAAGACTTCAAACCTATTTTCTTTAATTAGCTCTCATATTTTTATTAGATTTTGCATTATCTGTCAAAAATAAATATGGTTACAGGACTTGCCTCTATAGTTTTGTGAATAAATGTACCTAATAATCTAAGTAATGTTGTCTTTGTACATCAGATCTGTGAACAGTGGGTAGTGGGCTTCTGTGGTAGTGCCAATATATAACACTGTGACTGGAGCTGTGATCTGCACCACACACAGCAGTGGAAAATTCTGAGGAACAACAGCTGTGACAGAGATCTACTGTACTCCTCCTTAAACACAGGTGATTGCAAAGAGTGACACAGGCTTCATGATGGAATCAGGTCTGGAAGGCGGACTGGCCTAGCAAATTCCAACGGTACAGTAGTCAGGCCACACTTGAATCGAGTTGAAGCTCGTATCCTTGGGTGGCAGAAGGACAAGGTCTCATCACCTCCCAGAAGCTTAGATCTAATATCTCCATAAGCTGTTCAATTCCTGACAAAGCAATTGTGGTCTTCAACTTGAGTAAAGCATGGTTAGGGACTGCTAGGGATGCAGCTTTAATAAATATACAGTATATGTAAACAAATAAATACACAAATTATAACCAACCATATGGACAGGGAAAAGCACTGTGCTACAAATACTGGCACGGCAACTTCAGTGTTCCAGGCTGGCTCCCTCGACATGCAGCATTGACAGACTGAGCTGAACTGCCTCTGATCAGGGTGTATGAAGGCAGAGACTACAGTGCTGCATCACGCCCTGTGAAAGCAACCATCCCAAGGACAGCAGGGGATGAGAGGGTAATTTCCACAGCAGTAGTTCTGTAAGGGCTCTTTCACCAGGACAGCTGTAGAAGGGCAGAGCTGGGCAGTATTCATGCAGAGGGCAACAGAGTCTCAACATCACTTTCTGGCTGCTGCATGCCTAACACTGCCTGTGCCTGTTGAAGTCTTCTGAGTACCCCCTCCAGTCTGGGCAGGGGGCTTCTTCTTGGGCAGGGGCTGTTTGGTTTTGCCCCTGAAGGCCCTGTTGGGGTCCAGTTTGTTGAGGAGGGGCTCGCCCTGATCAGTGAGAGGGTTGCCGTGAGAGATGAGGGGCCGATACAGGCAAGCCCACTGCTGTAGGGGGACAGACACATGAAATCAGGACAGTTCCTGAGAAACTGAAAAAAAACAGCAGGTGCAGGTACAGTGATCTTGTACTGAAGATCAGGTGCAATTAGCAAAGGTCATATATCACGGCTTTCATGGTTACAATACTGTCTATAGCAGAGGTGTAGAACCTGGGGTGGGGTGGGAGAGAGCATATAGATTATATCTGAAAGCACAAATGTTTAAACAAACAAGTTTAAAAATCGACTGTACAAATACTATTGTTGTTAATGGCAGCCTACAGGGGTCACCACAAAAGCAATGCCCCACATTTTTAAAAATAAGGAACCTTTTGGTGCTCTCCAGCTTCTTGCGGTGTTCTGCAACTCTTTGACATGCCAATTTCATTTCAATGGGCTCTGCAGTTATATGCCAATTCAGTGTTGGCTCTGCTGCTCTGAAGGCAGTCAAATGAATGAAAATTAATCACAAAAAACATTCATGCACTAAACTGAATAAAGATGTTCTTATTTCTAACTGGTGTTTACATTAAATTCTTTTTTAAAAGTCTAATATTGAGTTGTGTTAAAGGCTTATACTGTATATGCTTCAGATCTTTGAAGAGGACACAGCTGGTTTGTTTCTTGGCTTCATACGTACTGGATATATCACTATTCGTTGTTTCAGAAGAAAACTGAATGCAGTAATGAGGCGAGAGTTATATCCTTTCGTTAGTATTAGCTTAAGTCAAACAAAAATGCTGAAGTTCCCTCTACTGACAAATGATTGAAGCACAATAAAAGAAAAGGATGTCAGGGTATGAAAATTTACAGGAACATCTGATGTGCTGTAAAACAAGCGCACAATTTCTGAGAAAACAGATCGTTTCTGGAGTAACAAGATATAAATGATTCATTCAGTGCTAAATGTCAACAGTCTTTGTAATAATTCTGAAAGTTAATACAGTGATTTTTAGTACTGTCATTCCACCATCAACTTGATTTCATATCCTGCGTGTTCATTTGGAACATGGGTGATTCTCATCACCAACAGAAGAAAAGATCTGATGAATATTAATTCACCCTAGTAAAACCCATCGTTCACCTTAAATGTCAATAAATCTTTTTTAGAAGCTGAATCATTTTTAAACAGACATGTTTCAGATAGGTTGGTGGTGTATATAACGGGCAAGCACTGCAAGGCTATAACATAACTATACATACAATAGACACGTCTGGGTTTTTCAATTTCTCCTTTCCAGGATTAAATAAAATTCATTATTTATAGTCCTAAAACATAGCAAACTACCTGTCATAACAGTAATTAAAGTGGTTAAAGTGGAACAGTTTTATTTTGGACAAAATAGGATTCCTAAAAACACAGGATTTCTAATCTGTTTTTATTATCAAAGACTTTTCTTAACAAGGAAAACAATGGTAAAAGTATAAGAGTCGGGCCAGCTCGTGAGACGGCGGCACCAGTACAACAGCTGACGGCGGTCACGCCTGGGATCAAGCCCTTTCGCTGTGGCTGCTTCAGGCACCCCAGACCTGGAATTGGATCCAGGGCTCTGGCTCAAAATAAACGGTACAAAATGCCACAAAAATGCCACTGTGCCGCTGTACCACCCTGCACAGATTTCAAGGCTTTGAAGAAATAGGTTTTTGGTTCCGTGTTAACACCAAAAGGCAAGGAAATCGTAAATAACCCATAATTCATGCCTTTTCTTGTGAATACCAGGATAGTGGTGCAGGATATTTTACCTTGGCCTGAGGGCTGGGCCCGTACGGGGTGAATCTGTACTGCCACTCGGGCAGCCCCAGGTGGGTGATCATCAGTCTGTAGTAGGCAGTGAAGGAGGCAGCGAGGAAGTGCCAGTACAGGGCACGGTCCAGGAACCACACTTCACACTGCTCAGCCACAGCTCCTGTTGGACAGGGAGGGGGACAGGAAAAAGAGCAAATGAGAGGAGCGAGGTCACAGAGAGGGTGAAGAGAAGAGAGTGCACCCAAGGCACACTGACAAAGATGAAAAAAGGGGATAACCGTCCGAGAAAATGTGAGGCTAAAAAAGACTTTAACATTATATTGGTCGCATTGTTCAGCCATTTTTTAGCCTAACGGATACTGAAGAAGTAGTCCACAAAGAACTGTGTGGGAAAATAAACATCTTCACATGACTGAAGTCAGTGTGAAATCATCATATAGCAAGTCCATGTGAACAATAGGAAGTGACTTCTGTGGGGTGGAGTCAATTTCGAGACAACTGAAACTCCTTTTTATTACAAGACAATTTCACTCCTTTGTATTACAAAACGTAGTCCGAGAGACACATTGACATCCGTCGACGCGTGTGCTGGAAGATAGATTAATTAATTGTGATCGTTACTTGGCATCTGAAATTCCTTGCATACACTGCATGTATTCTGATTTAATAGTGCTATTTCTTCATTCTGAACCAACACCGGTAAAGAGAGGATGATACATTTGGGGTCTTCTGATCAAGGCCAGGACACTGGAACTAGGATGAGTCTGATTACTAGAACGGTGGAGTAATTGGATTAGCTCACCCTGCTTGGACACAATGAATTTTATTTGTTTTTTGAATATTTATATGTAAATATAAATACTCTTTGTGTGTAGAATTACCTTCTTTGTAAGAATGATCTTTTCAGCAACATGTTTCCACTGGGTCGGCTTTTAAGATCACATGGCCTCAATGACGCTCAAATCTACATCCGCACCGAACATGAAATAGTTCAGTGAATACACAAACCTGAGCAAAGCACCACAGTGCCCTACCTGGTTTGGCGTTTGTGTACACGAGACAGACTCTGCCGCTCCCATTGCAAGGGTCCAGCTCAAACACGCGGCTTCGGGAGTCAAAATGGGGTTTCGCTGGCTGGCACTCTGCAGAACAGGAACATAAAGACGGTTACAAACGAATAGAGGCCTGTTTCGCCCCCTCAGCCCATTTGGAAGTGAATAAATTCCATGACCTCAGTCAGCAGCTCCCTGAAGGAAACCAGGGTATTGGCTTCCCAAACACTCTCACACTCCTTTATTTAAAGAAGAGCTTTGTAGTCTTTAAGCTACACAAAACTGGGCCTGAGCATTTTCATGAGGGACCTTCATTTTCATTTCAATGCCCTAGTGTGTCAACAGAGGACACAGTGCAGTCGGTGAGATGAGACATTACACTGCTGTAAGAGAACATTGCTGAATTCCTACTCAGACTAGCAGAGTCTAGCCTGTCCAGCTCAGAATGTTATCTGCACGTCACCAGAGCAGCTCGGCACTTCAGTCTATAAAAACTGAAGAAATCTGTTATATAAATTCAAGGATGATTTATTACCATTATGTACTGCGTTACCTTGTCCATCGTCCTCGTAGTCCAGGTCTGCCAGTGTGGGGGAGCTGGGTAAGGAATACACCGAGGACTGGCACAAGGGCTGCAACTTCAGGACACTGTTTATTACCATAGAGCCCAGTGGAACTGGCTCACCTGGTGAACACACACATTGGCAAGCTAAAGCCCTGAGGGACGGCATACGTTATGGATAAAAAGGATTATGGTACATTTTAAAGCCTAAATGCTAAAATTATTAAGTTTCTTTCTTGGAGTGAAAAAGGAGTATTTAATTTTAATTTAAATATAGGACAAATGATTTTTACCTGGTTCTTGCTCATTGTTATATTTTTAGTGGAAAAAAGGGGAAAAGCAAAAAGGAGATGAAAAAAGGCTAATTGTATAACGCTACAGTAACAGCAGATTGACAGAAGGACATTCGTCCACCTATTTTCTACCCACTTCGCACAGGGTCGTACCTGAGCAGGAACCTATTCCTGCAAGAAATGGATACAAGGTGGAATACCAGGCTGTGACACCAGCGTATCACAGAGCAGACACTCACACCAGGGCCAATTTTCCCAGATGTCTTTTAAACTACCAGTATGTATCTGGACTGTGGAGGAAACCCAAGTACAAACTCCATGGAGACAGCAGCCCAGGAATTCAGCTTAGGCAGTGGTTACCATTAGTGCTAACTACTCCACCACTCTGCTGCACTGGAAAAAGAATGTTAACTGTAAAATGAAAACAAAAAGAAAGTGAAATTAATAAACACAACTGTTGACTTACTATCCAGCTTGGAGCTCCAAGAGAGTTGAAAGCCATCCATGGTGAGGTAGAAATCTTTCAGGTCCTCTGGCAGGACACAGCTGTTTCTCTGAAACACACAGCACAGCCCAGACTGAGCAACAGCACAGACACACAGCACAGTCCGGACTGAGCAACAGCACAGACACACAGCACAGTCCGGACTGAGCAACAGCACAGACACACAGCACAGCCC